GGACGGCAACACGGGGGCGCACCTGGTCTGCTGGAGTCTATGTGTTAGGTGTGTAAAGAATATGCCACCACAAAGCTGGGGCCACTACCCTGTGTATCAGGAATCGAGGGTAGGGATTGGCCAGATTGGGTTAGGGAGGGACAGCATCACCTCAGGCAGTAGAATGAATACACGTGAGTAAGAGGGAGCCTTGTCCCTCCAGGGAGTTGTCACTCCATCACAGGCTGTGGGAAGATGGATGATGCTGGATGGTAAAAAGCCGTTTATGTATCCAGGTTATAGGGAACCATTAGGAGCTTTTTAAGGAGGGGTCTGTGAGAGCCCTGAGGGGAAAAGCCGTACCCTGGCATAACATTCAGTTTTTCACTCTCACGGTCTGAAAGAAAGTAGTGGTGTTTGAGCTCAACCAACCAGCAGCTGCCTCCCTGTTTCCACTGGATCTTTTCATCTCCGAAGGCCCACAACTCAGCACATTGCGAGTAAATACTCTGTGAAAGGCCCTCCCTGATGAGGTTACTGTCACTTTGCAGACCTTCCTTTGCCCTCAGATTTCAGCACCACAAATATTTCCAGAGGTGAGGCTCTGTGCCTGGGCTCTCTTGAGCCCCTGGGTGAAAAGTAAAAGTGCTGCAGAAAAGCCCAGAAGGCGGCTCACTGTGGTGGGAGTCATTTAGAGTAATGAAAAGGATCAGCCAGCAGTCATGCTCTGGTTATGTATGCCTCACAAGACCCGGTATATCAAGCAAAGTGTCATACTTCGGGAGACCAATTAACCTTCATCAACGAGGAGCCTGGGTTTCCCTCTAGTAGCTCTGGAAGACCCCTATCTTGCCTCAGGGCCCAGGGAGCCTAGCTATAGCCAGAAGATGTGTTGGCTGAACCCAGGATGGCCGGGTAAGAGACAGCCACAGGGCCTGCTGCCACTGCCTTCTGCTGCTCTTCCTCAGGAGTGTGTAGTGTGGTCCCTCAGTGCTAAGCTGGGGCCGGGTAGGAGCCTAGGCCAGTGGTGTGCTCAGCACAGCTCCCAGGTCTCTCCAAGCAGCGTGTTCTTTTGGCCTGTCTGCAGATGTCCCAGTTCATCGTCCAGTGCCTGAACCCTTACCGGAAACCTGATTGCAAAGTAGGAAGAATTACCACAACTGAAGACTTCAAACACTTGGCTCGAAAGGTACTCTCCCTGTCCCTGATCTGGCTGAGTGGGGGTGTGGTGGGGTGGGGCTAGGGACCCAGGAAATGAGAGCGAGGGGGGAAGCACCTTTACGAATTCAAGGTAGTTCTCTAAAAAACTTCCAAAGCTGAACACCCCACCCCCTTGGGGTATTATCAACACCCATCTGTCTCCAACTTTAATCCTCCTATTCAAGGCCTGGGTGGTAGGCTGGGACCCCACTTCCCTCCCCCCCACTGTCATTTCCACTCTGACTCGTGGCTGAGGTCTCTGTTCTTGTGCCTTGGACAGCTGACGCACGGCGTTATGAACAAGGAGCTGAAGTACTGTAAGAACCCCGAGGACCTGGAGTGCAATGAGAATGTGAAACACAAAACCAAGGAGTACATTAAGAAGTACATGCAGAAGTTTGGGGCTGTTTACAAACCCAAAGAGGATACGGAATTGGAGTGATTTATGGGGCCAGGGTGGGAGGGCGGGTGGGCGATCACCTGGGACAGACTCTGGGGAGAAGAGATCCTGGGGCCCTCTGCCCTACCCCATTGTTGGGGCTTGTGCTGCTGACGACACATCACCCTGGGAATGTCAAACCCTGCAGACTTTCATGGAAAACCACAAAAATGAGCTCCACCCACGAGCAATCCCTCGGCGGGAGCTTCTGAAACCATGGATAGAGGCCATCCAGAAGCAAGGGTTTAGGGAAGACTCCTACCCAAGACCCTGAGGCCCAGGCCCAGGCCTGACCCCGACTCTCAAACCTGGGTCTCCTCAGCGGTGCTGTCAGCGCACAGACCCATGCGCATCCCCAACCCATGATCCTGTACCCTGACGATCTGTATTATATTTTAATGTATATGTGAATATATTGAAAATAATTTGTTTTTTTCCTTGGTTTTGTTTGGTTTTGTTTTGCTTTTAGCTTCTACGTGCTAGGATCAGAGGAAGACTTTGTAAGGTGGTGTCCGTTCTCCTACAAGGTTTAATTTGTTATCATGTAAATATTCCAAAGCAGGCTGCCTTGTGGTTTCGGCCAGCCATGTGCTATGTTGATAAGATTGATTTACTGCTTAAAATCACTTTACTTTATCCAATTTTTACTGAACTTTTTATGTAAAAAATAAAATCAATTAAAGAACTTGGTAAAGCGTTTTCCCTGAAAGTGACCTGGCCTTACTGGGCATGTGGGCAGCGGGGTGGAAGAACTCGGGTGCAAGCATGTTGGTCTGTGGTGATGACTGCAGGGAAAGGGAGGGAAGGGGATGGCTATGGGCATGTGGTGGGACCTAAACTTCAAATCCAAGAGGTATCAGGCCTTGTTCCTCGCATCCCCCCACTGACTGAGGCTCGCTCAGGATGGACACTGGGCGCTCGGGAAGCTGTGGCTGTGTTCGAGGGGGATCACCCTGCATAGGGACTGCAGAGCAGGGAGTGCTCCCCAGGGGTTGGGCTGCTTCATGATGGTGTAAGAGGCAGTCAGGAGGAAGGGTGTGTCTTCCTCTTACACCTGGCTGGGGCGCAGAGAGGGAGGCAGGCTTTCATGCACCAGATTGGCCCACACGGACAGTCTCCTGGAGGTGGCAGTGCTCGCTGGAGCCACCCTCATGAGCCAGTTGTCCGCACAGTGAGAGGGGCTTTGCAGAGCCCAGGATCAGCAGCTCACTAGAGCAGTGTGACCCCCCCTGGGGAAAAGGCAAGTCCAGGCTGTGACCGAGCAAAACTACACGAGGGGGCTTCATTTCGAGCGCTGCATTCCTGCTGCGCCTTCATCATGACCTTGAGGCCCAGGACTTGGCGCTGTTCATGTGAGGAAGTGAAAGCTTAGGAGCTGCAGGGGCTCATCCGTCCCACTGGTGGATATTACAGGGGTTGTTGGTCAAGCTCTACTGTCCAACAACTGATCACCAGACATGCTGCCTAAACACCGGCAGTGTTCTCTGCTGATGCAGTCTCCACGTTACTTTCTGTGGGATGAGGGACCATGACTCACCCGGCCTGCTGACATCTCCCAGATAGGTCCACAAGGGTAAGTCCAAAAATATTGCTACTAGGGTTCCAGCTAGTCCATACCCAGGTTTATTCCAAACAAAGTACTTAAACATGTCTGCAGTCGATTCTCAATACACTTCCCTTAGTTTCATTAAGGCGCCATCTGCTGGGCCAGTTAAGTTCAAGGCAGAGGTGAGCTCAGAAGGTCATAGGGGTTGTTTCTTGAAATCCCCAACGGATAATCATGATGGCTTTCCTCCAAGGACAACAAAGTAAGCACATGGGGGTTGTTGGGAAGGAAACTTAAGAAAATTGAGAGAGGGGCCTGATGAGTTTTGCTGAGGAATTTCACCCCCATCGTGACGTGCACTCATTCTTCAAGGGTAGAATGAAAACTGCATCGTGTTCCCCAAACACCATGAAAGGTAAGATTCAGGATGATTCAACCAAGGTGCAGTATAGCACCGATGCTTCCTCCCCCGTCCCCCACCCACTACCATGACCCAGTGCTACCTTATAGATCTGGTTAGACTGGAGAACACACATTGGTACAGATAAGAACTCTGGACACACGGAATTCAGGACAGATAGACCCCTCAGGAACAGTAGTGGGAGTAGCGATATCCTGAGGGGGGGAGGAGGATTCTTGGGAAGAGGAAAGGGGAGAAAGAATCCATCACAAGGTTGGATATATGTCACACACACCCCCGAAGGACACAAATAACAAATGTGGATGAAGGGAGACAATGGACAGTATTTAAGATGTGGGGGATGGGGAAACCCTCTATAATTGATAAGAGGATGGGAGAGGGGAAAAAAGAGCTTAACCCAAGGGCTCTAGTAGAAAATGTTTTGGAAATTATGACAACATATGTACAAATATGCTTGATACAATTGTATGGAATGTTGTAAGAGCCCCTAGTAAAATGATTTTAAAAATAATAAGATTGGGACACCCAAGTTCAATTGGCATGACATAATTCACAAAGACAAGTTCTCCATCCTAACTGGGTGAGTAGCAATTAGGGTCTTAAAAGCTCTGGAGCCAGCCACTTAAGGTTTCTTCCCGTCCACAGGAAAGAAGCGTGCTGATAGTAGACATGAGTGTGCATTCAGACCAGTGGATCCGTAGAGCACTCCTACCTCCATCTCCACAGCCCTGTGGCCAGAACTAGATGGTGCCCAGCTGCTCTGGATGGAGTGGGAGAAACTGGGACATCTCAGGATGGTAAGGAACCAGGCTCCTGGTTGAATAAAGACGGGTGGGTTCTTCAAGACTGGGGCCCTTAGTCACCGTCTGGAGCTCTGGTCTGGAACTGAGTCATCGATGCAGCATTTATAGAAGGAAAAGGGCTTCAAGGGTTAGGCGTGGAGGCAGGAAATGGTGAGGAAGTAGGATACGTGAATGCACCCTGGGGACTGCAAAGGATAAATGGAAAGAATTACGAACTGTTGAATATAAAACTGATGATCTACTCGGTAAACCTTCACCTAATTTGCAATAAAAAAAAGCAAAGGTATGAATCGGTAAGGAAATAAATTCAATTTGAGCCCCTCGATGTCAGAACTGCCGTTGGGGTGTGGTATAAATTGAAGAGCCCAGAATTCTTCCAGGACAGGTCAATGAGAGACACTGCCTGGGGACGTACATGTACAGACCTGGATGGATGGATGGACAGATGAATGGATGGCGTGTCGACAAATCTCTGTTCAAAAGAGTCTCTAGGACTTTGCAGCAGTGCACTCTTGACTTACCCTCTTGTTTGGGAGAATGTGGCTGGCAATAAGCATGAGCCCCGCAGGTAAGCGCAGCCAGACGCACTCCTGCCCACCCAGGTGCTGCTGAGGGGTCCTCTCTCTGCCGCTGCCCCTCCCACACCTTAGGTCCCCCAGCCTTTTTCTGGGCATCTCCTTTGTGCCCCCTCACAGCCCCATAGAGCCAGATGGAACCAGCACCGAAGCCCAAAGTCTCCTTTAATGTGGGGTACAAAAGTAGAAAAACAAGCTGAAGCTAAGGACTGGTGGGGGTCCAGGAGGGTAGGACCACCTTCCCTACCCATGCACCTCCTCCCCGCTCATCCAAATGTTGCTCCCCGGCATACAGGGCAGGACAAGAAGAGGAAAGTAATGGTGGGCCCTTTTGCATCTCCCCTGAGCAGAGCAGGCCAAGGCCCACAGGGTGGAAAGCCGCAGGGGTGAGGCGGGCGGGGGGGTCATGGTGAGGAGCACTGGAGCAGGTTCCCTGAGCGGCTGGCATGTGAAGGCACAGCTCACACCACAGAGCAGCCCTCCGCCAAGGGGCTCAGGACCTGGGCCACATCTCTCCTCTCCATAACCGTCAGGGCATCCCCGAGAACTCCGAGCGTGGCTCCGCTGCCTTCCCGGAGGGCCCAGTCCTTCAGCAGGGTGTAGGCTGGAGCCTGGCCCCGGGCCAGGGTCTCCACAGCCTCTGCCTGGTAGCCCAGGCGGCCTGCCAGACCCTGCCAGCCCTTATCAGGCTCACCCGGCACCTCCAGTAGCCGCTCCACTTCCTCCTGCTGCTGCCGAGGGAGATGAAGGTAAAGTTGGTTGCGAAACTCAGGATTCAGCCCTAGGGTGGGGGGAAAAAAATGGGTATAGAAGGGTGGGATAAGGGCCTGGGCAGTAAAGCAAGGCTAGGTCCAAAGAGCTAAACTGGGGAAGGGACTCACCCTGGCTTGGGGCACAGGGTTCCAGGGGGCCGGGAGAGTCCAGGAAGACACAGCTATCCCCCCGCGTCTGGTCCCTGTCAAGAGCGCCCAGCTCTGTGCTCCGAGCCTTGGCCAGCTGCTGTCTTTGCTTGTGTGAACGCCAGCTGTAGGGAGCGGCGGGGGGTACCTGCCAGTCTGCTCCCACCTTCGCCAAGGTAGAAGGAGCTGGCCGGGGAGTCCAAACAAGGCATTGGAGGGAGTGTCCAGGGCAGTACCCAGACCACCTACCACTTGAAGGCCACGTAAGCTAGCAGCCCCAGGACCACGGCAGCCAGGAGCGCACAGTAGACTGGGATGATGCTGCCCGAGGCCCCTGGGGGTTCAGGGGGGAATGGGGAGGAGGTATTGGGGGCCAGGTCTCCCCCTGGCCCCACCCACACCCCTTCCCTGTCCCTGTCCTGCCCCATCAGGGTCTTCTCTGTGGGGGAAAAGGATAGACAATGTCAGGGGCAAGAAACCAAGCCTACAATTCCTGGCTACCCAACCTAGAGCTTGCTCTGCCTCAAAGGACTTAAACCAGTCCTCCCTGTAAAACCCACAAGGTCAGGAACACAGGAGCTGGAGTCGGCCAACTGCTTATCCCCCCACCCCCACCCCCTGGACACCCTGGGCTTCCCAGCTCTCCCATGCTTACAGCGGTTCCCTGCTGGTTCCCCTTCCTTCTGAATCAGCTAGACTGGTAGGAATCCCCTGCTCTGGGAAGCCTTCCTTGAGCTCCCACATTGCTCCCTTTTCTGGCTCCAAGTGCCCCTCTTTTATCTTATCTGACGTGACAAACTGCGGTGCCTTTTACGGCCAAGGGTCCCCGGGTGGTGCAAGCAGTTTGTGCTCAACTACTAACCGAGAGGTTGGCAGTTCAAACCCACCCAGCAGCACGACGGAACATAGCCCCGGCCATCTCTTCCATACAGATCACAGCCCAGGAAGCCCGGCAGAGCCGCTGGACTCTGTACTAACACACGGAACTGACTCATCGGCACCAAGTTTGGTTTTTGGTGCCATCACATGCGACCGTGTGTCCCGTCTCCCCTACCGGGTCTGGACTGTGAGAGCCTACTGATTCTTTTCTGTCCCTACCGGGAGCTCTGTGCAAAAGAGACCTTGTCAAATTTTGTAAAATAGCAGAATGGGAAGAGAAGTAAAAGGTGCTGTTTTCCTTTTGCCTGGGAGACAGAGAGCCTCCCAGCATACTGGAAACAGGACTCGTGAACCAGGGATTGGACTTGTATGTAGTCTACCCTCTGGGGTACCTTCCAGCCTGCCCAGTGCCTATCGATCTGTGCTGCGAGTTTTTTTGCCCTTGTGCCCAGGCGCCCCCCTATGCTGGAGCTGCGCAGCATAGCTTGGCTCCCTGACAGGATCCTCTATGGCTGGCATCCCTAGAGGGGTTGGCGTGTTACCCACAGCGTTCAAGCAAGGGAGCTGGGGCGCTGCTTCCGAGCCCCACTGACCAGAGGAAAAGCCTGACCTCAGAAGTCCTTTGAACAGTCAGCCTCTTCTCCCAGTCCCTCCACTCTCCATCCTGACTCACTCCGGGGCTGGGCTTCTACCCCATCCACATGCTGACGCTGCCAGGCCCAGCTAGCCAATACCAGGATGGAAGAGCATAGGTTAGAAACCTCTGTCTCACTGGCAGAGACATGCCCTTAGCCCCCACCTCGGCCAGAGATAGGGACAGCTGGCTTATTGGTTGGAAGGCTCACTCCCAGTCTTCTTACAATCAGTCCATAACTCCAACACCCAAGCAGGGCTTCCTGGAGTGTTAACAGGCTAGAGACCTGAAGACTTGGGTCACTAATCCCAACACCCATCAGGACCTCCACAGCCTATCTGCTGGGACCCACCTCCAGAGGTTGGGGGGCAGACAGGCCCCAGGTTTGGGAGAGGAATCTGCATACAGAAGGTGATGTGAGCAGAGGCCCTGCCTCTCACAAAGACAGCAGGGCCCACCCCAGAGATGCCAAGCCACTTCCGTGTAGGCCTTGTGCCCATGTGTGTGGCTCAGTGTAAGCTGGTGAGCCGGTCTGGGCCAGGGTGGCCCGTGCCACGTGTGAGGTATGTGCGTATGGGGGCCTCCCATGAGGGGCTCTCCGGGGGTCCTGGTGGGTGGACAATCTTGTGAGCCGGGTTTGTAACAGCAGCAGCAGCTGCGGGCCTGAGGTTCCCCCGACCCCACCCGAGCTGAGGGATTTGGGGCCTTCCCCCACATCCAAGCCCATCAGATATGGGGACACAATGCAACAGCCCGCACGCCCACACTCCCATGACTCCTCACCCACATCCCAACAAACATCCACCCCACCACTCACAACACCCAGGGGATGGCGGGCCTTGAAGAGAGGGCCGAGACCCCTCGGCCAGCAAGACCCGGAGCGTTGGCCCCTACCCCTTCCTAACCTGCGGCGGCCGCCCCTCCACAGGTCCTGGGATCTGCTCCGCCTGGCGGGGCTGGGGCCTCTGAGGGCGCTCAGCTCCTTCTCGGCGGGCGGGCAGGCAGGAGGGCAGGGAGACGGGCACCGAGCCCCTAGCAAGGCCGGGTTCTGTTCCGCCCCATAGGAGCGGCGCGGGGCGGGGCCAAGAGTGGGATGGAGAGGGGCCGAGGCTGGGGGCGGGGCGCGCTGAGGGGGCGGAGCTAGACGAGAGGCGGGGAGGAAGGCCTGTCGGGACCTCACAGCCAGCCACACCCCCGACCCTGGGCGCGCGCCCCGCCCACACGGCGCCCTCTCCCGCCGACGCTTAGCCTGGATGGCGGGAACGCGTGAATGACGTGCGACAATGGCCCCGTGCAGAGCAGAGGGAGCGAGAACGGGACCGAGATGGCGGGGTCTGGGGAAGAGGGGCGGCTGGGTAAACTGAACCCCCCCAAGTCCGCGGAGGCCACTCTTAAGGGTGGTCACGGACTAAGGGAATGCAAGCTGGCCAGACCGAGAGGTAGCGACCCCGAGATAGTGACCACAGAGGCAGAGCATCTACAAAACTAGGCCAGGTTTATTGCCAAGAATGCAAGAGCAGGGCCGCCTTTAAGGATTAAGGCCACGGCCTGGCCCTTGTGCTCCGCAGGGACGGGGTTCGGGATCCCCGCCCCAAACTGTGCAAAAAGTGCTGCAGCTGCCCGAGGCCGGGCAAGAGTCCCGCGGCGCCTCAGCCGGCGAGGGGCGGGACTTGCTGGAGTGACACCGCTCCCACCAATCCCTGAGCTGGATGTGGGCCCCGCCCACCCCTAGAGCGCGGACCAATGGCCACGAAGTCGCTTCCTCTTCAGCGGTCCCGCCGACTGCTGGGCGGGGCCTCCCGGGTGGGGCGGGGCCCTCGGGGCGGAGCCTGAGCAGCTGGGGGTGGGGCACGTCCTCAGCGCGCGTCTCCAGGGTTGTACTCCGTCTCCCCAGAGGACACCTGGGAGATGCGCCGCGAGGAGGACCGCCACAGCTTGCGCGCGAACTGGCCGCTGCGCACCTGCTGGGGGAGGGGGCTGTCAGTTGAAGCCATCACACCTCACCCAGCCTCAGGCGCGACCTGCCCTGTCGCTTCACCTCAGAGGGCTGTCCCGCGCCCACCACGATGAGCTTGCCGTCCTCCAGCCCCACGAGCACGTGGCTATGCTCCTTGGTCACGGCCACGCTGCGGATGGGCACCTTCATGGGCAGGGGCGGGGCGGCTGGGAGCAGCCTGGGGAAAGGGGTTAGACACGGGAGTTCACAGCTGTGCTGAGGACTGCCCTCCCCTAAGCCATCATCATCAATGGAAACCCAGATCCCTAAGGGGACCTTTCTTGGGGGTGGGGTGATGGTGGTGACTAAGGGCACATCTCCCCAGGCTGGGGGAGGTGGGGCTAGGAGACAGGGCTGGAAGACTGAGCCCTGGGGCATATAACGGGTGTGTGGGATTAGGGGCATCCCCTAGAATCCTCTGCCGATGATTGCCACCCGGAGGGACCATGAACCCCATGGGGGCTCACCTGTTCAGGTGGAGGATGTGCAAGGCACACTGGGCTGTGCCCAGCAGAACGAAGTCCTCAGCCACAGCCAGGGCTGTGGGCTGCTCAGCCAGGGGCCGTGTGGCTCGCAGCTTCCCATTCACAGAGTACAGGTGCAACGAGTAGGTAACCTGTAGGAAGCAAGCTGTCAGCAAGGACAGGGCCCTGGCCTGGCCTCCCATCTGCTGTGGCCAGGTGTCCCTTCGCCGTACCTGGGCCCCTGGACGTTCTTGTGCTGAGCTCTGTACCACAATCTGGCCCTCAGACCCCAGCACCAAGTGGGACACAGGTCCGGGCAGTGCAGCACCGGGGGGCCGCAGTGCTGCCACAAATTGGCCCCGGCGTACAGTGTGGATGATCACAGTCCCATCCTGTGTGGGAAGGCGGCTCAGAATGCTGGGCAGGAGCCTCTGGGCTCTGGAGGCAACGCCCGGCCACCCACCGTGCCCTGCCCAGGGCGCACGCACCTCGGATCCGGACACAGCCATGTCGAGCTCAGTGCTGATGGCCACGCAACTCACCGCAGCCTCGTGTCCATACAGGACCTGCACGGGCTTTGGTGCCAGCCCGACCGACAGACCACCCTGGTAGTGGGGGTGTGGTGGGGTGAGGGCTAGTTCAGGACTGGGATCCCCCACCCCGACCCCTGGGTGAGGGGCCAAGCTTAGGAGAACGACGGCCCTGGCCAAGGCTGGGGAGGTGAAGGTTGATGGCATTCTACCTTTGTTCACGGTTGTCCGGGGAGAGGGGAGAGAGGTGGACAGAGAGACACAGGGCTAGAGGCCCACTGAGGGGCCTGTGGAACCCGCCCCGGCCCACCTGCTGCAAGAGCCGCCACACCATACACGTGGCGTCCCGGGAGCCTGAGATGAGGTAGATGCCACAGGTGTCCAGTGCGAGGCAGGTGACTACATCTGCATGGGGAGGGCAGCAGTCACACCCTTCCTGGTCACCCTAAGAGCCCTGGTGGCATGCCTTCCCCTCCCCCTGATGTCCATACCCAGATGGCGGCTCAGCTGGCTCAGCAGCTTGCCCCTGGGGAGCGTGGTCACGCGCAGGCTGCCATCCCAATGGCCACCACTGAACAGGAGCTTCCCATCAGGGGCCACCGCCAGAGCTTGCCCGCTCACACCGCTGCCTGGCACCCACGGGCCGCTCAGAAGTCGCTGCATCCTAACCCAGAGAGGGGGTGACGGGTGAAGCCAGGCCACCTGGTCTTCAGAGTCTCGCCCCCCTCCACAGCCTCATATCCTACTTGGGGTTGGCCATGGTGGGGTCTTTGCTGAAGCTGAAGTAGTTGCTTATGTTGCGGTCATAGGGCAACCAGCTATGGGTGCCCAACAGTCCATTGGCACTCACGGTCACCTGCCGGCAGGAGCAGGGAGAGGTGGATTTCAGGTAAAGCCCGAGGCAGGATGGTGCTAAGGTAGGGGCCTCACCCACCGCACTTACCAACAGGTCTGCGGAGCCTTGGGTTATGAAGGAGTGGGGTTGCCGATGGGGGACCAGAGCCAGCACCAGGGGTACACCGTCACTGACAACCTGCAGGTCACAGGGTAGCGCTGATACTGCCACCATCCAGCTGGGGCTTGGACCCACCCCCTGCCCCTGGGGGCACCATCCCTCCTTGCTCTCATGGTCCAGGACATGAAGGGGGCAGAGCTCCCCGCTGAGGAAGTGGTATGCAAGGAGGGGGCCTTCAGGATGACATTGCAGAAAGCGAGTGAGGGGCCCGGACAAGGAAGACCCTCGGGTGTCTCAAGCTTGGTCCTTCCTCCCTCCCCCGCCCCATCAGTCCATGTCCCCCTGGCAGTGGGAGACAAAACCAATGGCCAGGGAGTTGATGCCCAGTCCTGAAGACCTCAGGTAAGGGGTCAGAGTAGAAAACTGTGCTCTAGTGGTTGGTATTTCAGAACGAGATCACCACGCTTTCCTTCCGAACTACCTTGGGGCAGACTCTAGCCTCCAGCAGCCGAGTGCATTAGGGGAGCCGAAAGACCAGTGAAGCTGGGGCAGCCTCCTCCAGTGCAGGCAGGAAGGGGAAGGAGGGTTCCTCAGGCTAGATCTCTCCCTTCTAGCTCCCCAAAGCGCTCACAGTCATATGGGTCAGGACCTTGAGGACAGCCTCCCAAGGACTTCAAACGCGGCGGCATGGACTCAATGGACTGCCCAGTGAGGGCAGAGGTATTCAATTCATTTCACAGAGTGGAAGGGGAGGGGCTGCCCGCCTCTCACCTCGGCAAAGAAGGCCTTGAGCTGGTCCAGGTGCTGGAAGATGCTGGGGGAGTGAATGTCCAGACGGGCAAGGCGGTGGACTGCTTCCTCAGCTGAGAGTCGGGCCGGATGTGGCTCCTGTGTGTCAGTGGCCAGTTATCATCCCAGCCCGGGTACCCCTGCCCCATGGGCATTGGGCAGCAGGGCCTTACCTTCAGCAGTTGGCAAGGGGTCTGCCCAAAGTTGCTGATAATGCCCTCCAGAGCCTTCCGCTCTTGCTCATCGGCCACGTGGTCCAGGTCTACCGCCCCTGGGGAGGCAGGCAAGAGCAGTCCGGCTCCCCTCTATGCTGTCTGCATTCAGCCTCCCCGCTCCCCGCCGCCCCCAGCCCTAAGCCCCACGGTGCCCGGGGCCACACCCACCCTCATAGGTGCAGTAATAGAAGACATTGAGGGCTTCCTCAGCTGCAGGGCCCCGCTGCTTGTAGCCAAAGATGAGGTCGATCCACTCGTGCAGGTGGGCTGACACATGCTCGGACTCCTGGGGTTGGGGAGGGGTCAGTCAGTCCGGGGGCAGCTGAGCTGGACACACACACACACATCCCTGCCGACTCCCATGCGGTGAGCTCCTTACCAGAGCCCGGCGGTGCTGCTGAATGAAGTCTTCGGGAGAGCTGGCCCACGGTGGCAACACCACGTCTCCCACCTTCTCATTGCTCAACTGGAGGCAGCCTAGGTCAAAGTCTAGCACAGGGGCCAGGTCAGCTGTACCCACCCCTGCCACCTGTGCTGCTGCCTGGCTCCCTGGCTCAGCCTGGGACCTCTGTCCCCAAGCCCCACTGGTCAGCATGCAAGACCTACCATTCTGGTTCTCCAGGAAGTCTGGGAAGTAGAAGAACTCGGGGATGAGCTCCTTCACATCGGCCGGGCTCTCCAGGCGGGTCTGCCAGGCAGCTGCCACCGAGTGGAACTGCCGGTCAGAGCAGTCAAAGCTGGGGAGGGGCACAGGGGCCAAGGTGAGGTGGGAGAATGGGGAGGGTCGGGGAGAGGAGGCCCCGCCTGCCCTCGGTGTACCGGCCACTCTGCAGCTGGACGTGCAGGGAGGTGAAGGGCTCTGTGCGGATGAGGTAGTGCATCACGCCCGCTGCGTTGGAATAGTGGGTGCCGTAGTGGAACCGGTCAATGGTGCCTGCTGGGTCCTCAAAGCTCTCGAACCTGGGGCCACGGGGCGGGGACGTCCTCAGCAGCAGCTCGCCCTCTACCCATTCCCAACCCGCACCGCCCTGCAGCCCTGCCCATGCACTCACTTCTCCCTCACGAGCTGGGCATGCTTGGGGTTCACCACACCGATGGGCTTGGACAGGTCTCGGAAGACTGCCGGGTTGCTGAGGTCCAGGGTTGGGGACACGTAATCCTGCAGGACCCAGGGGAACTGGCCGCCCACCCAGGCAGGAGCTTCATGAGAGCCCTGTCAGTCTGCTTGCCCACCCTGCCTGGCCCATAACCCTTGGGTACATAGGCACAGAGTCCTCAGGTGGGGGCGAGGTTCCAGGGTCTTGGGACAGGATTCCTTTGGGGGAGAACAGTGGCCTGAAGGGAAGGGGGAGGAGGGAGTGGGGCTAGGAGGCTGGGGCAGGGAACAGACTGTGTCTCAGTCAGCACTGCACACCCAACCCAGGACCAAGCTCAGGGCAGGGCCCACTGGCGGGTCCCCACTCTAGGGCGAAATGGGCTGAGAGACAGGGAGGGCGGGGGCCCTCACCACGGGGTATTGGGACAGGTCATTGTAGGTCCGCCCTGCAATGGTGTTGAGCTGCATCAAGTACTCGAAGTTGGATATCTCATGCTGCACCCATTTCTAGGAGGGGGTGGGGTGGGGTGCAGGCAAGATGTGAGCCAGCTGGACTGTTTAGCACTGCCCCCTCCTCTGGGTTCTGACCTCACAGCCCCCACCCCCTCACTCCTGGGCCTTCACCTGGGTCAGGCCTGAGGCACGTAGCATCTCTTGGGGTGAGCGGCTGCCCAGGTAGCTTTGGGTTGGGGGCCGCAGACGCAGGAGGCAGGAGTATACCTGGTTCCGTACCTGAGGGTGGGGCAGGGGAGAGTGGGGTTGGGGCTGAGCTGCAGCCGGGTGGGTTTGGGGCCTGGGGAGGGCACTGGCGGGGTGGGTAAAGGGAGGGCACGCCCACCTTGCGAGGGAAATTGAGGAAATAGTTGGCCTGGTCGATGAAGAAGAGCTCGAGGGCTGATCGGCGCAGGTTGAACCGGCGCAGGTGGACCTCTCGCAGCTGAGTCAGCGGGCGCCGAAAGTCGTGACCAATACCTATGGGAGCAATGAGGCATGGGGGTGGGCGCCGTCTCTGCCCTTGCCCTGCCAGCTCCCCAACTCAGGTCACCCGCCTCACCCTCCTCGGTCTCCACGCGCTCAGCACTGCCATCGTAGAAGTACACGTGCTGAGTGGTCACTTCCAGCAGCCCCGCCACCACGGCCACCACGGTGACCAGCTGGCACTCGGCTGACAGCACCAGTTTCTCTCGCTGCTCATCTAGTTCTGCTGCCTTCATCCTGTGGGCCGAGACCCCCTCAGGCTCTAGGCTCTGAGACTCCCCCACCCACCCACGCATCCATACAACTCATGGACATCTTGCCCTGTCTTCTGTTTCCCCTGCCCATCCCCCAGGACCCCAGTCTACCCTGGTCTGCGTTTCTCATTCTTGGGTGCCTCGCCCTTAAAGAGCAACCACCCACCTTGTCCGAAGGCTCTCCCATACTGACACCCCACCTTCCCTTTTCCCCACTCCCCAATCTTGGTCCCTCCCTCAGGGTGCCAAGTCAACCCCAAGGCAGGCAGGCACACATGCAGCAGAGGGGCGGGCTGAACTACAGACCCCTCGTCCAGCCCCAGGCCAGGTCTCTCCCAGCCCCACTCACGCTGTCTCCAGAGCGGCCATCTCATCCTCGCCTAGCTGGTCTTCCTGCAGCTCCTCAGGTGGGGTGCTGACTTTGGCCTCCTTGGTCACTGCCAGAGGCAGCGCCGCCTCCTCCGTGGGTATCAGCGGGGTCTCCCCTGCAGCAGAGACAAGGACACTCAGTCAGAGCTCCGCGGGAGTGACCCAGGGCGTTGGGTGAAACCGGCTGGGCCCAGCCCCTCACCCAGGTTGTCTCGCAGGGCACTGGCTTCCAGGTGAGGATCAAAGTGATGATTGGGAACCAGCTTCAGCCGCATGCGGGAGTATGTCTCAGCGCTGGACAGCTTCCAGCGGGGGGTGGGAGGGTCCCTGCGGATGTCCCCAGGGGTGGTCATGGGAAGGGTAGAAGGCTATGGCACTCATACTCATGGCTCCCTGCCCTCAGGGACCCTCCCACACCCGCTGCAAATACAGCGTGGCTCTCCACGGGCTTGCTCTACTCGAAGCCCCGCCCCACCGCCCTGACTCCGCCCCCAGCCCGGCCCACCTCAGCGCCCAGGCCCCGCAAGGGCTGGAGAGCTGGCGCCACAGCGACCCCCAGTGCAGCAAGGCCGTGGAGTGCTGGGCTGCCTGCTGCTTCTGCGCAGCTGCGTAGCGCAGCCCCTCCAGGCGCGCACGCCGCTGTGCGGGTTCCAGCACCAGAGCCTGCGGGGCAGGAGGCAGAGGGAGGGTCAGCTCTGCTGGCTGCAGCCTTGCCTGCCCCGGTTCCATTCGCCACTCCGTGCCGTCAGCCTCCTCTCCTCGGCTGGGCAAGGGTGTGGAGCAGCCCCTGCGCCCCGCAGACCCCTGCCCCGAACCACCCCACGCCCAGGGCCGCACACCTGGAAGGCCCGGCGGCTGTGGGCACGATCCCGCTGGTGCCGCTGGCCGCTGCTCATGAGCGTGTCATAGCAGGCGTTCCAGAAGCCAGACATGAGGTCGTGGCTCTTGGCATATGTGTCCATTTCGAACTGCGACATGGTGGGCTGCACCTAGAGGCAGGGGCAGGGAGAGGGGATGGATGGGTGTTCCATGGGGGAGGGGGGAGGGGGCGCGGCTTCCCGTTGTTCCTCCCCACCCCCTCCCCTTCAATGCCAGGTACCTGCTTGTCGATGAAGAGGCGCCATTCAGGTGTGGCACAGAAAGCCTGGAAGTCCTCAAAGAAGGTGGGGCTGCCATTGGTGGGCGGCAGGGAGGGCAGCCCCCACTGCAGCCCCAGCGGTGTGTACGCACGGTCCAGCAGCGTGCGCACCAGCGGCACCAGCCATGAGCAGCGCTCAGTCGAGGTGGCGGGATTTGGGCGCTCTGCGTCATGCCCATCGGTAGTCTCGTAGGAGGCGTTCAGTGCCCGCGCCAGGGCCGCCTCCAGTTTGGAGAGCACGTAGCAGGCCTCCTCGCGGCGCATGGGCACCGTCGTCTGCAGCAGCGAGTGCAGCTTCACGTAGGCTTGGGCGTGCAGCTGTGAGAGGTGGGGGCGGGCGTGTGGGGGCGGCTAGCCTCTCCTGGGGCCACCGAACACCTGCCCCACCTACCTACCCTACCCTACCCTAACCTCCGTCCCCGCCGCATGCCCACCTGCGGGTCCTCCAGCAGTATGTAGCCAAGCACCAGGCGCAGGCCGATCTGTGCCATCTCCCGCAGGTCTGCCGTGCCATTGGCCAGGTGCGGCCAGGCCCCCAGCCGGTCAAGCAGGCTGCACACACCTTCGAAGAGCTGCCACACAGGACACCCTTCTGACACAGGTCATCAGGAGAGGCCAGAAGCCCACAGGGAGGGTCGTTGGGCACAGAGGGTTTACACACGCGGACATGGTTCCCACCCCCCCACGCCCCAAGACCAGGCAATCCACCTCAGCCCCAAGCATGCCAACCCTGGGGTGACCCTGAGGCATCTGGATTGTACCTCTGGAGGTGCTCCAGAGCACGGTGGAACCCTCTGCCTCCCCCCCACCCCCGCAGCCGTCCTACCTTCTCGCTCCACAGTTCCTGGTTCCCATGGCCCTCCGCGCACAGGAAGTCCTGCAGCAGGCGCAGCAGCCAAAGCGCTTGCTGGGTGAGGCTGGCCAGGACCCCTAGTGAGGCTGCCTTGATGTCGGTCAGGGCAGACTCCAGCATCATCTCCAGGAGGCTGTGTTGGGCAAGGGTCTCAGCTTCTTCATCAGGACGGCTTTGCTAGGCCCCTCCCGCTGCTGAGCTGCCCGCCTCACCTGCGCTTGATGCAGTCTGGTGGGCGCACCAGGGTGGCTGAGGCCCCCAGCTGGGTGAGAACCGAGAAGACCTGGCCCCGCTCCCGCCAGGCAGCCTCGTCGCTGCCTTCCACGCCCCGCCACGTCATGGAGAATAGCACGTTGGTGAGCAAGTTGCATAATTCCTCCTCCGAGGTTTGCTGTGGGCACAGGTGGGGTATGGGGTGGGCTGGGGAAGGAGGGGCTCCGCACCCACCTGACTCCCTATGAGGCAGAGCAGCTAGCCCGTCCAGCAAAAGATGGCCACGGCCAACTGAATCCTCCAGTCTCAGTTGATGGTGGGAAGGAGATGAGGCAGTTCACAAAATGACCCTACAGCCCTCATGTGGTGCACTATCTCAGAATTCTCTAGGACACTGGTCCCAAATTTATTTGGCCTACCACCTTTTCGGAATTACTCAGTGTGTTTCCAATAGCGCCCACGGTCCAGGATAAAGGGGAGGTATCTGTGTTCGCAGGCCCTTGGATCCTTTCAGTGCACCCTTTCCCAGAGGATGGTATTGCTCACTTTGGGAAACACTGCAGAGACCCTCCCCAAACCCAGGAGCCCAAGTGCGGACCCCCTGCTCAGTATGGACTCTGCCTTCAGGCTCTCTTGGGGGCCTTTGGGGAGCCTGGCATGGCTGTCCACACGGGGACTCCATTTGGCAACACAGCTGCAGGTGGGAGACAAGGGGACAGCCCTGGGCTGAAGGAGCAGCAGCAGCTGATTTGGGGCTAGACCACGCCTCTGGAGAGGCTATACCGCCAGTCCGTGCCCCCGAGGCCACCCCTGGGTGCTCAGCGGCGCCTCACCTGAGGGTTACTGGTGTTTGAGGTGTCATCCCCACTGACAGCGGGCTCCAGGAGGCTGCTGTCCTCCAGCACATTCGAGAGGCTGGAGCTGTGGCGGCCGTGGGCAGCAGGGAAGGGCCGGGGCCCATCCAGTGGGGAGGGCGTGCCAGGCTGACTGGCGGGAGTCAGGGTCCCGTTGCTGCTGCCACCACTGGCAGTGTTGCCGGAGCCCACACTGGACCGTTCCAGGCCCAGGTCAAAGTGTGTGCAGAATGGGGAAAGGGCCTGGTACAAGGCCTCCGGGTCGGGGCAGGGGCCTCCAGCAGGCAGGAAGACATCAGACTGCTCGTCAGGTGACTCTGTGGGGGGCTTGTGGGGTGCTAGTTCTGGGGAGGTGGGCAGTTCTGGGACAAAGGGCGGGGAAGCGGTAGCCTCTAGGACATATAGCCGGGTCAGCACATCCTGCCAGCCGGCCTGGCGCGCCAGGAGCCGAACAATGTCTGGCTGTTCGTAGATGAGGTGAAAAAGCTGCGGAGTAGGGGGTAAGTGTCACATCACAGTGAGGAGCTCATTTGACCCCTGCACCAGAACCTCCTCCCGGGAAATTTGCAGAGACATTCTCCAGAGGCTCCCCCATGCAGGCAGGCTGCCCCACCCCACACTGACCTGGCGACAAATGTTCAGGCGGACATTGAGGTCGGCCTGGAGGGACAGCTGCACCACTGCCATCAGGTCTGAGAGGTTCGGGAAATCTGGGGGGGGGCAATTGAGGGGGACAGCAGAGGGGATCTGAGAGACCAACCCCAATAGGAGGAGCTGGGTCACCCTGCACCCTCAAACCTGGCCCCTCGACCCTCACCTTCCCCATCCTGAGCTGCCCCAATGCCTGCAGGCCCGTCAGCCCTCACCCAGCTAGCCTCCTGGCCCCAGTGGGATTGTACCTGCCCCCAGGAACAGCTTGTAGAGGCCCTGGCAGAGCTGAGGGGAAGCGGTCCCCTCAGGCAGGCAGGCCACCAAGCCTTGGACACCACACTCCCGCAGGCGGAGCCGCTGCCGGCCGCGTTCTGGCAAGCGCTCATTGTGCAGCAGGCTGCGCAGGATCTGCGTGGGGGGTAGCGGGCAGAGAGAGCGCTCTTACGCCTGCTTGCGTCTCCAGGAGGGGCGTGAGAAAGCAGCTGCACCTGCTGGCCCTGACCTAGAGCCTAGGCAGGGACTGCAGAGCAAGGGGGCGGGGGCCGCGGCTGTACCTTGCAGACTCGGTCGGGCAGCAGGGGCAAAGACCTCGGCCGCACCAGCAGGGCCAGCAGCACCTCGAGGTTCCCGGGCTCCAGCAGGAAGGCCCCCAGGGGCTCTTGGACCGGAGAGCCCTGCAGCAGCGCCAGCAAGAGGTCCAGGGTGCCCACCACCTGGAGGATGCAGTTTCACACTACGATGAAGCCCTTTCAAGTGGCCCAACCCCCGCCCGAGGGCTCCCCGTCCTTCCCTTCAGCCTACCTGGCCGTCATCCCCCGCGGCAGCCAGAAAGCTCAGCACCACCTGCGCATCATCGGCAGAGAAGCTCCGCACCAGGAACTCGCGCGCCAGGCCCAGGAGTGAGGTCTGCACCACGCGCAGGTCGTCCGCCGCCAGGGGGCGCTCCCGCAGTGAGCTGGGCCATCCCAGCCAGAGAGAAAGGGAGAGTGGGCTGGGGAGCTGGGGGTGGGGGCTGCCCTGACCCCTCGGTCAGAGGCCATCGTGTCGCCGCCCAGGGCCCGCTTGCACCACCACCCTCACCTGTAATGGGCGCGCAGGGCATCGAGGACAAACTGGACCCCATACTTCTTCCGCAGCTTCTGTCTGTGCTCACGGATGATGCTGGACATGTACTGGATGTGGCCTGAGAAGGCATCACAGAGGCCTGAGCTGGGTCCCCTCATGCGGTTCCCTCAGGCACCCCCCGGTGGGGCCAGGCCCCTGTCCGACCTCCCACGCCCTCCTCACACCCAGGGGGTAGCTGTATGCTCATAGACCTCTCCACCCCTACCCCCACCCCCCAGGCAGATATGTCTCCTAGACCTGCTAGGGCTGGGCCAGAGGTTATAACCTCTCAGAGCCTCCACCACCCTCCCGATGTGCCCTCACCCACCGAGGCGCACGGCAAAGTCGCTGAGGGTCCAGAGGTGAAAGTTGAAGAGCAGGTGCTGATAGAGCAGATACAGGAGGGGCCCGGCACCCTCTGCCGCCACCTGCTCCATCAGCAGCTGGGTGGACATGAGCACGTTCATGTCCATGGCCCAGCTCGGGACCTGGGGTGGAAGATGGAGCCGGGTGAGGAGCCAGGGCCTGCCCGAGAGCCGCCCAGCTCCCACCCCTTCCCTGCGCAGGTGGACAGGCATGACCATGGCTGCCCAGCTCCCAACTCTTGGGGGTCCCTGCTGCCTCCTGAGTGCCCGCTTGATCTTCAGCCTGCAGCGCTTCACCTGTGTCATTCCCTCCACCACTGCCACTGCTGGGAATACCCATCCCCAGGCCCTCTCGGGGACACCAAGGCCCTGTCAGGAGGGTCTCCCTGAAGGGTGAGGCATCAGGTGCACCCCCCTGGGTGCCTGCCTGGCCTACTCTGGTCAGACAGGGTGGCCCTCTCCATCCCACCAGGCCCCACCTTACGCAGGAGGGCCCCCAGGATGGCTGGGCCCTGGCACTGCACCAGGCTCTCCTGGTTTGCAGGGTGGCCCTGCAGGAAGTTCCGGAGCATCAGCAGAAAGGCAGCCACTGCATTCCTCTCCATCCGCTCCTCTGCTGCCACGAGGGGTGGGACGGGTGTGTCAGGGTCTGCCCTCTGGGCCTCCTCTGGGCCTCCCCTCCCCTCCCAGGAACCTGGGGTTCTTACCTGAGGACTTGCCCAGTGGGAGAAGCAGGCCCTGAGGGTTGTGGCTGGTCAGCTCGGGCCCCACGAGGTCATGTGTTTCGGCTGGGCCCAATTCGACCTCTTGAGGCTGCAGGGCCACTCGCTCCAGCAAGGGCAGCAGGGTACCCATGCCCCCCACGTAGTTCACCACATCCTGGGGACAGGGGGCAGCAGTCTGAAGGCAGCTCTGGGCCAGGTTCCTGCTACACCCCATGGAGGCCCTGCTTCAGGGACCCCTTCCAGGCACAGCCCCACTGCCAGCCCACCCTGCGCGCACGCGCACACACACACACACACACACACACACACACACACACACACACACACACACACACAGAGCCACCTTTACATTCCAGGTCTCCACTCTGTGTCCTGTCAGGCGACCATCCAGCCCGTGGCCAGGGGACAGGTCCAGGCAGATGTTGTTCTTACAGGCCTGGGGGTGGAGGTGTGAGCAGGCCGGAGGGGTGAGTGGAGGAAGGGCAGGCAGGTGGGGTGTAGTAGGAGGTGTCAGCCCCCACCCCCGTACCTGAGGTGAGTAATAGAGGAGCAGCTTGGTGCCCAGCTCATGCAGATCACCTTCGGGTTTGAAGGGCGCCATCTCATTGGGCCCTGGAGGTGGGCAGGGGCTTCAGAGCTGGCTGGATCTCAGACCAAAGCCCTCTCACCCCACTCCACCCCGAGCCTGTCTCGCCCCTAGTGTCTGGCCCGGGCAGGCAAGGTGGAGGGTGCTGCATACCCAGGGTGCACAGGGTCCGAAGCGGCGCTGGCTGCAGGGCTTCGTGGAAGATGGCCACAGGCCCCAGCTCACCCTCCAGGGACGTGGGGCTGCCCCATCGGGTGTCTTGTGTGCCTGCCAGAGTGGAGCTGATGCCGCCCTCCTGCAGGGGGGCCGCCAGCCCCGATCCCCAGCCCAGCCCAGTGGAGGCGGAGGCAGGGACTGACAGGGAGCGGGTGATCGAGGGGTGGGCATGAACCAAGGCGGTGGGGGGGGGCTCAGGCGGCCCCGTCGTGGTGGTCGTGGTGCGGTGCCCAGCAGAGCCGATACAGCAGGAGGAAAAGGGCTGCGGAGCCAGAGGGCCGGGTTAGGGCACGGCAAAGCTTGGGACACCTCCTACACCCAGCCCCTCTCCGCCAGCACCCCAGGCCGCTGCACAGACTAAGCTCCGGAAACCTGAGGGCTGGGAGTGGAGGGTTGCAACGGCCTCAGATCCCACCCTGCCCACCTGCTCCAGGTCTCCCCGCCCCACCAAGCCCCAGGCCCTCAAAGCCCAGCACACCTCGCTGAGGCAGGGGCAGCGGAGGGGTGCAGTCTTGACCAGGTGACCATCTTTGTAGATGTGGACTAGGTTCTGGCTGAAAGGCCGGCGCCCGGGCACATGGACAATGGCTACGCAGTGCTAGAACGGAGGCCAGGAGGTCAGGCTGCAGGGTGGGTATGGGTACCCCCACCTCACCTGCGGCGCCTCGCCAGCAGCCGGGGAGCTCACCCAGGCCGAGTCGACGAAGGACACCTCGGGCAGGCTCACGGTCAGGTACTCCTTCCGCGTGCACACGGCCACCACCAGCGTCCCAGCCACAGTGAAGAAGGCCTCAAAGCCTGAGCCGCTGCTGCTGAAGAAGCTGGGAGGAGGCAGGGGCAGGTCAGGCCTTGATGTCCGCCTGCTCTCCTGCCCCACCCCCCCTCCACCGTGCCCCCAGGCCCCGGCTCGACCCACCTGTACAGCTGCTTCCGCTGGAGTGGCCTGGGGGAGGCCAGGGGAGGCGCCGCAGCCGTGGGGTGCAGGCACAGCCAGGCGTGGAAGGTGAAGCCAGGTCCGGGCCAGCGCTGCACCGGGGGCACCATAATGCCGGCCATGCCCGGCGCCAGGTCAAAGTAGCGCAGGGCGCGGGCGGGGCCCTGGTGCCTGGCCATGCCCGACAGCGCGCGGATGATGGCAGCCGCGTGCTGGGCCTTCGCGGCCTCAGCTCCGTCCGAGTCCAGCCCCGGCGGGGGCCGCAGCAGGCGCCGCAGCTCCAGGGGCCGCAGCGACACGCTGCCCAGGACTTGTAGCAGCGCCAGCAGCTGCTCCTGGCACCGGGCCCCCAGGGCGGGCCCCGCGCTCAGCGTCTCCAGCAGGCAGCCCACCAGGCCCGCCTGCACACAGGTGGCCCGGCTGGTAGGACAGCTGTCGCAGAGCCACCTGAGGCGCTGTGCCAGGAAGCACCGCAGCTCGGCCGTGGGCAGCGACGGCAGCCAGCGCACCAGCACCAGCAGCGGCTGCTCGTTGCGGATGGCGGGCGCCACGCACGCGCTGTGCTCGCCCTCCACGGCCTGTGGGTGGAGGGACTGAGACAGGCCTGCCACAAGGCAAGGTGGGACTTCCTGCCTCCATTTACCTGCCTACCGGCGGCGTGGATCAACTACACGCACAGACAGGCCCGCTCACAGGCCGTGTGGTGGAGCCTCGGGGAAGAGGCACGTGGAGGCCCTCTCAGCACGGCCGCCCCTCCACCCTGCCTCACCACAGGCCCGGCCTCACCCCCACTGCACGTCCCCCAGACAATTCCAGGGCCTGCAAACCTGCAGCAGGCCCCCCAAATCTTCCCTCCCACCCGCAGCCCGGCATCACCACCCCAGGTGGGGATGGGGTGTGTTCCGGCCACAGGTCAGCACAGCCCTCCAAGGTGGGAGGCTTGCCTTCCGTGAGACCAGGACCCCCATCTCTGCCCTCACCATGTTAAGTAGCTCCTGCAGCAGCCTGGGGGTGGGGGGGCCGTGGCTCTGCAGCACCTCCTGCAGGTGAGGGTAGCCGATGCGTTCCTTAAACACCTCCTGGGCAAGGGTGGGAGGGGCGAAGAGTGAGCATCATGTGGGTCCTGGGGTGGGGGTGGGAGGGGCCTGCGCAGCACACACAATACAGGGAACCCCTGGAAGGGGGACTAATCTTTGTGGGACCCCTTGCCTGCTTCTGCCTCTGAGTCTCAGTGCAGGTGGGGGTCGCCTCAGGAGGCTACAGCCAGTGGTCAGCTACAAGTGTCCTTCCCTCACCCAGCCCTGACCCAGCTGCGCAGTTGACCAGTCAATACCTGCTCAGTGGGCTGAGTTGCCCTCTGGAGAGGACGGTCACTTGGTCTACTTGGGGAAGCTGGGTGCATAGCCCCTGACAGGTCCGTTCTGGGGACATGGGGTCAGCCTCACTTCCACCTGCCCACTACTGGGGCCGCACCAGAGTCTTCACCTTGGCCGAGGGCGAGCCGCTCATGATGCAGGTCAGCACCCGGACAACGTGGACCGCGATGGCATCTGTGTCCTGGTCCAGCACCTTGGGGAGGTGAGGGGACGATCAGGAGAGGCAGGCGAGGCAGGCACTAGGGATGCATTGCTCAAAGCACCCTTTGGAAAAGGGCTCGGGACGAGGGGTGCATGCCCCAGCCCCAGGGGCTCAGGGCATGGGAGTGGATGGGCAGCCCTGCCTGGGGCACGGGCCCTCTACTCCTTGCTCTGACTTCCATGACCCTCAGCCGGAGCCCAGGTCCTTCTTTGAGCACCTGAGCACGAGGCCAAGGAAGAGCCCACCGGAGGCTGGGGCAGGGTCTTGCGGCAGCAGAGGGTCAGAAAACACCCTCTTGGTAGTTCTCTCTTGTCCCACCACATCCTGGTGGTCTCACCGATCCTGCCCCCACTCCATCCCCCTCCAAGCTACACACACACACACAGGCCAGACAGTGCCCCGTCACCCAGGATGATTGACAGGGGTGGGTGAGTTAGGGATCATCAAGCACAGGATAGTAGAACCAGAAGAACCTTCGAAACGTGTATATCCCCTATCCCGGTGTGGGGGGGTGCACCCTGGCTGAGCCCAACACTAACCGGCCCTACCCCACCCTGAAGATGGGGATCAGGAGGGCTTGGGAAGGGTGTCAGCAGGTGCCGGACCATGTGATAGCCACGTGCACTGCCCACCTCCCAAAGGATCCCAGACAAGCTCCTTCCCTCCAGGTCTCCCCCGTTTCCTCATCCATGAGAGGACACGCACACACACGTGTGCGGCCCGTGCCCCGCCTGCACTGACTGTGAAGGAAGAGACACTCAGGCGCTGGGAACGTGGTCCAGTGAGTGGCCGTGCGGTGCTGCCACAGGGACTGGACAAGACCGAGCCACCAGAGGGAGGTATCCGAGGGGGTGAGGGACTCCAGGCCACCTGCGTAAGGTGGGTGGCAAGGACACAAAGATCCCTTCTCTGCAGAAGACTGCAGCCAGTTTCCTGCGTCTACCTGGGCCT